AATCAGCATAACCTGCATCAGTATTCTTAGGTTTCACAGAAGTTCCACTAACATATCCCCATAGCTTTTTACCCTTAAGAAAATTTCTCATCACATAACTCCAATACGAATAATTCTTTCCATCCAACCTCACACTCACAGACTGAAGCGAATCGTCTCTTGCAGTAGCCATAATCAACAAACAAAGAAAACTAGATTGCAAAAAGGGAACCAATACCAGATTGCAAAAAGGGAACCAATACCAGATTGCCAAAAAAAAACAGAACAAATACCAGATTGCCAAAAAATGGAAAAAAACCTAGTTGGATCCGCGTAAACTGTGTTTGAGATTAAACCTTGTCCCATGAAACTTTGTTTTGATACCATGTTAAACAATCTAAAGACATACAAGAGATAAGAAAGAGAGAAGACTAGAGTTTTATTAATACTGCATAATTTAATTGAATATAAGAGAATAATTTAACCTAAATACAAAGAGACTATATATAAACTAAACAAGGTAGGGAAAGTAAAAAATTATTCTACCCTTAATAAATAAAATAACCATATATTTCTTAACACTGCCAACTAAATTGTGGTTATAATTTACTGAAACACCCTCATACAATAAATTTACTAGGTTTTTTACCCATTTCTCTCCATTTCACCCCACTGGCCACCCTTTCTCATCTCCACAAACAGCGCAACAGGTATGCCTCTCTGTCTCTCTCCCCCATTTCCCTCTCTCTCTCTCTTCCCCCCCTGAATTTCTCTCAATCTTTCCGGCCATGGGACATTTTTTTCTGTTTAATTTTTTTTCACAAACCAAAAACAGTAGCTCTCTCTCTCTCTCTCTCACTCTCAATGTGTGTAATTTATCGGCGATGGAGGTTTTCCGGTGAAGGGTTTTTTGTTACTATTTTAATTAAAAATAAGGTAAAAATTTGTACTTTTTGTTCTCTCCATCTCTCCCTCTACCCTCTCTCTTTCTCTCGCTTTCTCTCTACACCCTATTTCTCTCAACCGAAACCCTATCAAGCCATCACTCTAACAAACACAAACACCCAACAAACCCACCTTCATAGCCATTGAACTTAACCCACCGGAGATACCTCCACTAAGAGCAACTCCAACGGGAGTTGCTATCAGGGGTGCCATACCCATAATTGCTAAAATGGCACTCCAACTGCAAAAATTATGACTCAAACGGAAGTGGTATAAGAGGTGGCAAAATGACAACTAGGATTTTGGGGTGGCATATTTGGCAACTTTGGAGAGAGAATTGAGAGGTTGCAAAATAGTCGTTGGTGGCTACTGTTCCTCTCAACGGCTATATTCCACCCAAAATTTTTATAAAAATATAGAGAGAGTAAAGTGGAAGGAGATTTGCCTGATAATTGCCTGAAAATCGTTGATGTTGAGTTATACTTGCCTAAAAATCACTTCCCTGATATTGAAAACCCCTTGCCTTTGATATCAAAAAACCCTTGTTTGATATCTAAAATCCCTCTTCTGCCATCTCAAACGAGCTTCAAGCGAACTTCACCCACCAAAATAGGAGCTTCAAGGTTATGGATGTTTTAATTTTGGATGATTTTGTTAAGGTTTAGGGGGGAAGGGGAAGGGGGTAGGGTCTGAGAATCAAAGGGGAAGGGGAAGGGAAGGGTCTCTAGATCGTTTCAAACTGTTCTCCCATTTATTTTAGGTCAAATGACACTTTGTACCTCCAAAGTTAATTGTGTTATCATGTTATACCATTACATTTTTTGGTATTATCATATTATGACATGTTATTTAATTGTATTGTCATATTATACCATTAAATTTTTTTGTATTGTCATATTATACCATTAAATTATTTTGGTATTGTCATATTACAACATGTTATTTAATTGTATTATCATATTACACCATTAAATTTTTTTGTATTGTCATATTATACCATTAAATTTTTTTATATTGTCATATTACACCATTAAATTTAATTGTATTGTCATATTACATCATTAAATTTAATTGTATTGTCATGTTACACCATTAAATTATTTTGTATTGATTATTTTATCTTACCTTTAAATTGATTATAATTTTTTTTTTGTAGATGAATTCACAATTTGACGATTCTTTCACTGATTTGCTTATGAACGACACTGATTTATATGATGCTGCTATGCAGATCAATCTCACAGTATTGACGTCAGTACAAAGTAATCTTTTGAAAGGATGAAAAACCGAGAACTCCAACGACATCTGTTGTTTGGATGAAATATGGATCGTGTTGTTTAATCTCATTTACAATTCGGAGAAAAAGAGGACGACTTATTCGGAACCTCTTTCAAAAAAATCTTCATATACACAAGGGGTAGCAAAATAGTCACAATAGAATCTTTCGTGACCTTCAACTCTACCACGATTAACTATTATGTGGCCTAGAACGGAACTACGATGCCTTCTTATCCGTCCCTAACTAGACCCATCTAACCTTCTACTTGCAGCCTACAACATATTCAAGTCATAATTATCTTCTTCTTCAATATTGAGGATCTCTTGTAAAATATTAGGATAACGATTCATATAACTTGATGAATGAATATATGAAAGTATATATACTCAAAGAGAGAGGAGATATTGAATTTATAAAGACAATGTAAGATAGATGAATAAAAACATGAGAAAAATAATCACATTTATAAACGAATTATATTTTTTTTAATTTTTATTTTGACGATTAAATTTTCAAATTTGAATTTCAAAGGTTGAAATTTGAAATTTGAATTTTGGCAAACAAAATTTAAAATTTGAAATCTGAAATTTGAATTTCGGCGGACAAAATTTAAAATTTGAAATTTAAAATCTGAAATTTGAAAATTTAAATTTTTACTATAATAATATATCTGTTAAATTACGATAGTTATAAAAACTATACCCGATAAAATATAACCGTTAAATTTAATTATATTTTTTAATAAAAAATATTAAAATATTAAAATGACACCCCTTTTTACTCAAATCATAGCAAATCATTTGCAGCTCTGCCACCTATGCTTCAGATCTTCATTCAAACCCAAATGGTGGAGTACCTTCTGATAACAACGAGATCGAGTGTGTCTATCAGAAACCTATTGACCGATGACTCTCTCTCTCCACCTTTGCATCTCTGGTTCTTCGTGTCTGTCTCTAGTTCTTCATCTCCGTCTCACACTCTTCTGTTTTTCAATTTCTACATTGCTAAAACTTTCCAACCCACCATCGCACAACAATTCAGCCAAGAATACACACGTGTTGGATATTGGGCAAAATTATGAGTCATTTGTGATGTGTAGTTTGTTGTTAATTTGTTAGGTTTTGTCAATTAATTTCAGTATAATATTTTGGATGGATCAAATATATTTGTAGTCACTTTTTTTTTAAATCCATTTAAAATAGAACACCCAAAATTTTTTTTTTTTTTATTATAACTAGCTAGTGATAAATTTTTAATTCAATATAAAAGTAATAACTAATAATTGTCAAGCAAATATGAGATATGTTTGGATAAGAATCAAGTATAAGATGGTAAATTTACTCATAACAGCCTTGTTATATTCGCAAAGTTCGATTCATACACCATTTGATAAGTCTAATTCATTGATCATCTTATTCGTCATGTTGATTAAAAAGAGTGAACACCATCTTTTAAAAATAATAAGAAGAAATTTCATCCATCCATCCATCCAAGAAATCATTGCAAACCAAGCTATCAACAATTACAAAACAATGCACAAAAAAAAAGAGGGATGACTTGAGTCAAAACTAAGTTTCAAAACAAATCAAAGACATTATCGAAGAACGGTAAAATTATGAGGGTAATCAAAGCTCACCAGCGGAGCAGAGTCGATCAATTCTACGGCATTGACGTCAGCAACACAGAGCTGGAAGAGTCTGAAGGGACGGTGTTGGACCAGGTTTTAGTGGGCCATAACCACCAGTTGCGCTTTTCTAGGGAATTGAAGGATCGGTGGGAGATTTCACAGGAAGATTTCGGGAATTTGTGGTGGGGTTTGGGGTTGGTAGAAGAAGAGGTGGGATCCACACAGGTTTGTAGGGTTTGGAGGTGGAGGAAGAGGAAGAGGAAGTGTGGCTATGGCGGGGAACGCAAATGAGAGTTTGTTGAGGAAGATCTGGGTATGCATTTCCATATCTTGAGATGTTCTCTTTTTTTTGTTTGGCTTAGTGAGAGATTCGGATTGTGGGTTTGGGATTCTCCATTGTTGATCTTGATCAAGCCAGGAAGAACCAGATTTGGGAGGGGGGAGAGAGAGAGAGAGAGGGACGACAACGTTGACGAGTTGGGCCTTGGAGCTTCAAGACGGCGTCGTTTGGCAGTGGTGAGTGGTCCCTAGATTGTCATCGTTTGGGACGCGGCTTGATTGTTTCGTTGCGGGGTTACACTATCCCGCACCTGTAATAATGTAGGGATAGGAGGAACGAGTTAAGCCAAGCCAAGCCAAGCAGTTTGTTGCTCGAAAATTTTGAGAAACTTCAAAATATAATTTAATCTTGGTTATTTTTATTTTATTGCTTAACAGGTTGATTTCTAGTGACTACAAGCTTAAATTATATATAATTCAAACTAACTTATTTCATTAGTCATTAATTGAGATCTTAGATCATTTTCGAGTTATTTAATTTCGATTTCTTTTCATTAATAGTGATATATCTAGTTTATTTTTAAAGGGAAAGAAAAAAAAAATTGTTGTGTAACTAGTCAGACTTAGTACCCTACTTAGGAGAAGATGACTTCTTAGTCATTCTCACGAATCCACTTTGTTCAATTTGCTTGATTCATGTTAGATTCTTATATATACAATGATTTATTTTATATTTAGATTCTTTTTAATGTGTCAAATCAGATACAACTTGTACAAATCGCATTAGTCAGGACTTTGATCCATATTGCACACCGTGTCTTGCAATTTGCTGCCCGGGGGGTGGAGTTCATACAGTGGCATTTGTTTGTTATTTGAGTATATTAGTGCATTCCATTACATTATCAAGCTTGCATTTAACACTTCAAAGCATCAAACTGTTCATAAACCATAACATACAGAGCTTAGCAATACATAGAAATATAGACAGTAACCAATATGCATGCAATAACAAATACATCGAACTGGAGAGTTCTCAAAGCAATTCAAGATATACACTCGTGTGACTATAAAAGTACTATAAGGAAGGGAAATGGTAGTTTCTCACTCCTGCCGTGCTCTGTGGCATTCTTCCTTGCGACAGGTATCTTCTCAGCAGTTGTCTTCCACTTTGATTTCTTCCTCTTTGATCTCTTCCTTTTTCTCTTCCTCCTTGATCTCTTCCTTTTTATCTTCCTCCTTGGTCTCTTCCTTTTTCTCTTCCTCTTTGATCTCTTCCTTTTCCTCTTCCACTTTATCTTTCTCCACTCTCCTCCAAATTCCTAGACCCTCGACATTGCAAGGGAATGACTTCAACGAGTTACAGTGACTCACCTCCACGAACCTCAGTGAAGGAATCCCCCTCTGCACCAGTGACCACTCCACCTCCAGTTTTGGCAAAAACTTCAAGCACAACCCTACTATTTTCCAAGTCTTGTCTTCCTTGCCCCAGAAGTCATTGTTTATGTTGCTGAGAACCTTGGAGTCTTCAATACAAAGATATTGAAGTTGAGGGAGTGAAGTGGGGTTCATCCATTGTGGTGTACTTTCTCCAAAGTAATGCCGCAAATACAGCTCTTCAAGACAGGTTGGAAGGCAAAGCATATCAAGCTTTCTTAGGATGTCCTTGTCCTCAGAGTCCCCAGCATTGATTGACAACACCCTTAGGTGATTAAGTTGTGCTAACACTGTCACTTCCTCAACCTTGATTATGCTTTCTTCCTTTATGTCTACCTGCAACACCCGAAGGTTGGGTAGATCCTTAAGCTCACCAAGGTGACAGCCTTTTGTATCTGTTGAACTGGCTATTTTGAATCCATACAGCTCTTGAAGATTGGAAAGTCTAGAAAGTCCCTGGGGCAGGCACTGGAGCAATGGACAATTCCCAACATCCAAAACCGTTAGTTCTGAAAGAGTAGCTATTAATACAGATACCTTTTTTAGGTTCTTGCATTCACCAAGGATCAAAATCTGGAGGGCCCATAACTTTCCAATTGAGTCTGGCAGTTCAACCAATTTTGCTGCATTGCGAAGGTTTAAGTAAGCTAGGCGTTTCTGGGAAGTGATCCAACGCCATAGATCCCCTAAAGAAATTTTGTCCAGCTTAATGTGCGAGAAGTCCAAAACCCGGAGAGACCTGACTTTGGCCAACCCACGGCTCCTATTTAGGCGAATCGAACAATTGGGCATACATAATAATGCCCTTAACTTTGAGTTTCCATCTAGGGCATGGAGATCCATTTCACCTGTGACTCTTAACCGGCGAGTATTTACAGTAGGTACCTGCCTATTTCCTTTGTCAAAGCTGCTGAAATCCTCTTCCCTGGCAATTTTAATTGTCAAATCCCGAACCAGATCATGCATTTTGCAATTATAGACTTTTCCATCATAATTCCTTCGTTGAACAACTTCAACCAAGCATCTGCTGATCAATTCGGACAGGTTTTCATACGCTACATCTCTTGCAGTTTCCGTGCCTTCGTCTCGGACAAAACCTTCCCCCACCCACCAGCGAACCAATTGCTCAGCACTAATTTCGTAGTCTTCCGCATATATTGAGAAGCAAAGGATACAATGCTTTAGATCAGTAGGAAGCTCATCATAGCTTAGCTGCAAAGAAGCCATAACCGATGATCTATTGCTTTCTGCTAAAGAACTATTGCTTTTTTCTTCTAGTTTTGCATGAAAATTTAGATAAATCCGCTCCCACTCCTTTAAAATCTGATTTTTTGATTTTAGCAAACCTCCAATTGTCTTGATTGCTAGCGGAAGGCCGCCACACTTTTTCACAATGTTCTTCCCTGTTTCTTCTAACGCGGAATTCACTTTGGCAACTTTACAGAACAATGACCAACCCTCTTCTTCATTTAGAAGCTTGGGCCGATGAATTCTTTCTTCCACAACTCCCATTCCTTTCAAGACATCCTCATTTCTTGATGTAATTATGATGCAACTGCTTTGCTCCTTTGTCTCTGGAAGTCCACTTGAGATCTTTTCCCACCAGGTGCCAGTTTTCCATACATCATCCATGACAATTAGGTAAGCTTTCTTGGTAAGCACTTCGGATATTTTGAGCAGCAAGTTACCGGATCTATCATTTACCTTTAAATCATCCAAGATATTTGTCACGATTTCATTCTCGTCGACATTTTGAGATACAGTCACCCAAATTCTCTCCTTAAATCGAGCAATTACGTCTTTATCCTCGAAGATCTTTTGGGCAATGGTAGTTTTGCCCAAGCCCGCCATCCCCACAATACCAATGCGATGTAATTCCTCCTTGTGATCAAGGAAAATCCACCCTTTGATAGTTTCAACATCTTCTGTTAACCCAACTACATCAGATTGGTTGAAAACCGGTAAATTAAACCGTCTTTTGCTGCTACTCCCTTCACTGGTGCGACTAACTGGTGTAAGATAGGAATTCAAATCCCCTTTCAGTCGCACAATTCGCTTGTTAACGCAGGTCAACTTCCTTCCTGTTTGATAGCGGAATAACAGTTCGCGAGGAGATAGATGGTAGGAAGAGGAGGTACCTTTGCTCTTCCAGTACTTCGCTCGAATTATGCAATCCATCACCAAGTCATCAGCGTCATATACTAATTTTCTCAGATCATCCAATATTGGCTTAAGAGTTTTATATTTCCCTTTGATCTTCTCCGTGTCAGTGAGGAATGCCCGCATGAGAGAAAGTTCACGTTTCATATCCTCAAACTGAGTTTGAAATCCAAAAACATACTGACCATGAACATAGACAGCATCAGTCACATCTCTAACAAGAACCTGAACCACCGCGTCCATTACTACACCTTCTGCCATTTTGCCTAAAAGTCAAAACCAAGAATTACACATCAGCCGATTAGTAATTCGTTGAGTGCTACAGATAACTAGTTTAGAATATAAATTTCGAAATTCTTAAAGCAATATTACCTTGTGCATTATTTTTATTTCTCCTTTTTGTTTATATATTAAGTGTCGAATTTCAACACATTTTGATTTCCTACTACAGGCCAAAACACTAGGCAAATAAGTTGAAACAGTCTAAGTAGGCTATGGTGGTCATATTGATAAACAGCGGATAAAATGCCTAACACTAACGATACCGCTATCAAACACAAGTAACCAAGTGAACCCAAATTCATCGTAAAGAATATAAGAAGATGAAGATGAACTACTTTTTAACGTTGTATTGGTATGAGGTAAAATTTTTAAGCTAGAACGATGTGAAAATTGGAACGAAATAATTCTGGAATGGATGGAAATGTATATTACCATTTCGACACTACAATAAAGTGTACCAAACACAATTGATGATTTATTCAAGTCTTTGGTAAATCAATTTTTTTCCCTGATATGTAATAGAATTTGATTAAATGTGATGATGGTGGCCACGGGCAGAGCCAGAGCCAGAAATTATTTATAGTGAGGGCAACCTAAAACTATTTCAATATTATTCAAAATCAATATGTTTGGTCTAACTCAAACTCCATAATTTTTTTCTTTTTGAACACAAACTCAATTATTTATCATTGAGTTTTTGACAATCAACTTATTAGGACTAGAAATATTCATTTAATAGACCAACTTAACAGAAATAATTTAGAAAAAAATCTATTTGCCACAACTTTATTAAAACTTAGATATAAGAATACTTTGATTATTCACAGACAAATTATTAAAGTCCAATTGGTCAAATAATTTAATTAAAAAAATGCCAATATATAGTATAATTAAATTAAAAAAAATATTTGAAATAATTTGAATCTTAATTTATAATTCTTGCATTCTAATTTCAATTTCTAATATTGTGATTTCTAACTTCAAATCCCAATTTTTTACAATTTCAAATATCAAGATCCAATTTCAGTTCACATTAACAAAAAATAATAGAGGGGAGGACACAAAGAAGATAGAAAAATAGAACATTGACCAAGAAAGTCAAGTTAAAGAAAATGTTCGACTAAGCATATTGTTGTTGGTTAATCTTGATTCTATCAACTAGTAGGTGTATGATTCAACCTTAGCTAAAGGTCACAATACACTTCTTATAGGGTGCTTGCTCATTTATTATTGATGTGGTATTCAAATGATGTAATAGCTAATTATTTATGTTGTAATAGTGATTTATTGATATTTATAAAAAAAAAAAACCTCATTGTAACATTTTTAATTTAAGTCATATGAGGAAAGTGTAAGTCTAATCTTTCTTTTTTATAAAAGAATACCACTTATCAAAAAAATTTACCAGCAATAATACTATTTGTATTTAATTTAGAAACTTAATTTGAAAATTTAATACATTGTTGTCATTGGATTAGCACGTACCGGATCCCGTTACAAATTGGGATCTACGAATAATCAAATGATAACAATGATTGAACTTCCCTAATAGATCCCAATAATGTTACTCTGGTAAACTTAACTTTTTTATAAAAATTTGAGTGGGGGCAATTTTTTTAAAAGAAAAACTTCAAATAACATCCAAATTTTCAAAATTCTAGTGGGGACAGCTGCCCCCAAGTAGAATCCGCCCTTGAAGATGATGGTCAATGATGGCGTTGATAGTTGGATGGTATAGACAGTGGTGATGGTGGTGACATTGTTAACGTGGTGGGGGTGATGGAAATGAGGGTGGTTGGAGGTTAATGAGTAGGAGGATGGGTTTTTTTTTGTTTTTTTTTTTTTTGGGGGGGGGGGGGGGGGGGTGATTGATGTCTTTTGGTCCACATACCAAGCACACTGCAAGTCTAGTGCGCTCTCTCGCCCTTTCGCTCACTGCATCTGCATGTGAGCTAGAATGCAAAATGTGGCATAGATGTGTGAGTGTGTGTTGATTTTAGGCTTAATTTTACTTGGTTTTACCAATTTAAGGATCTGAGGTGCTAAACGACGTTATTTGAATTTCAACTAACTTATAATTCGAGTTATACAATTAGAGTTTTATATCAATAGACATATTTGTAAGTGAAAGAGTAATGCTATAGATATCAAACTTTTTACTGCAAAGAAATCCCAAATGATGTGGCATTGTGCCTCATTAGTGGCGTCCCATATTTCATCTCATCAAAAGGACCCGATTAATATGAGTTGTACCCATGTAAGTGTTGGGATTTGCTTTCTGGGATCAATTTCATAGCATTGATTTTCATCAATTTATGTCAGAAAACTAAATTAATAGTTTGTTGATGACTGCTTACCTGGTTTTATGATCCAATTCGTCTCAAGTATCTACCTTCTGAATTGTCAAAGTGAATTATCTACCCTG